AAAAAAAAAGAAAAAAGGTTACAACCTAGGATTTCAAAAAACATCCTCCAACAAAGATAGATCCTTCTCCAGCTTCTCATAGGCATAGCTATTAGAAGGACCTATAATTATAGGCCAAGGTATATATTAAACTAAGTAAGCTAAGATAATATGATATTCCCTAATTTTCAGCTCTCGAATTTTAGGATCTCCCAATCCCTATTCAACTCCACCAATGATCCTGAATCTTGCAAATACCCAACATTTCCTTTTCCCCCTTTTCAGCGTGATATATGTACTTGGCTCATTCAAACAAAGCAAATAAAGTGCTTGCAGCTTGTTTTACCATATTTGTGATATTTTAGATTTCTATCAGAGTGTTTTTCTTCCTTCTCTTTTTCGGTTTTTCCAATATCATATGGATGATACTAGTTATGTGAGCTAGGAAAAAAATTAAAAAGATCATCCATATTTGCATCAGAACCTTATAAAGAGATTTGCAAACATCTTCTGAGATAAAAATATTATGGAGGACCAACTTCAATCAAAAGTGACAGCTACTTAATGCAAAAATTAAGGATCACATTAGATGTTCTTGCTTCCCTAATTTTGTTTCTTAATGAGCAGCTAACTTTTCTTAATTATGAACCTCAGCTGGACTTCGGTGTTTCATCTTAGTTGTCTTTTTAACTTCTATCACTGGAGTTCTGTAGTTTTCTTTGTTAACTCTTGTCCACCCTTAGTGGTTTTTCTTATCTCCAACGACGATTCTTGGTTTTTGCTTACAGTCACTGTTCGTGATATGTTTTACAATCAACCAGTGCGAAGGAAGCATATTGAATCCAGGTTCGTGTTTGGGTGAAATCTGATATTTTGGCTAATTAAAATGTGTCGTTTTACCTTTTTGTTAAGGGCTTGTACTAACTTGATGTTGTCATGACGTACTTTTCAAAATGATAGCCCAAAGAAGGTGTTGGATTCAATCAAATTGAGCATGCTGAGAATTGCCCTTGTTCATGTCAATGTTTCCTTCAAAGTTATTGATGTGGAAAGGTATAATCCCTTTTCATTCTTTACTTTAACTCTTTAATAGCTACTTCTAAATTTTTGCAGTTTTTAAATTTGTAATGCAGTGCCTTGGATCTGCTTCATACAAGAACTTCATCTTCTCCACTATCAATTCTTTCTAGTTATTTTGGGATTGAGTATTCAGCTACGTTATACAAACTCAATATATCTGATGATGAACTGAAGCTTACTGGGTATATTTCTGATCCCCATGAGGTGTTACTGCCAAAGGTATGCCACTGGTGGTTGGTGCTTGACTATGTGATATACAAACTCATTTCTACTTACTAATCAATAGTGGGTTGCATGCAGGCAATCCAGTATGTCTGTATCCATAACATCGGTCCATTTGATGTGATATAGTGGAGGTATATCTCCTAAAGATGGGAATTCTACTATTTGTATTTCTTAATTGTAAATGCAGACATCAACTCAAGGTTTGTGTCCAAGGGACCAATCCACACATTAGTGAATCAGTTGGCTGCAAAATTTGATTTGTTGAATGCGTGTCAGACAACTGTTAACTCCTACAACGAGAAGCAAAATAAGTATAAGATGTGCCCAATGTTCATTCTGAATCTACATTGCCCGAGATCTTACTATGATATAATCACTCCTGGACGGACTTCAGTGGAATTCAAGGTGGTAATATTGGCTGTGGTTATGAACTATTTTAGCTTATGCTGGACATGAAAGTTCTCAGTACAACTAGGCTAAAAGAAGTGTCATGATGCTTTTCTTTTCTACTTACGATATGCTGCGAGTCTCAATTTGTGTGTTTTTTTAACTTTACGCTGTAGCTCAGGAATTACACTCATGATCCTCTGCTTTAGCAATTTTGTCTTAAAAAAGGTCCTGATCATTTGTTGACGTGATCTGATAGATAATATGTGGATCATCCCTGTACCAAATGTATTTATATGCGTTTCTGTATCAGGATTGGGATCCTGTACTTACTTTGATTGGGAACGGTGTCCTGCGTCTTTGGAATGAATACATATCTCCTGGTAATGGACTATTGCCTGGTTTAAGTAATATTTTCCATATACTTCATGTTCTCCCGGTCTCAATGAGCTGATCTGGTGTTAACTTAAATCACCTAGGTGTACCTCATTGATAAACGCTTGTGCAGATAATTTCCTTTTATGAGCTTTGTTTAGTATTTCAACAGGAGACACAGTTTCTAGTTGTTATTCTCTTTTTTTTTTTTTTTTTTTTTTTTTTTTTTTTTCTCCCCATTTTTATATACCATCATGTGAAATGTTATCTAAAGGAAGCTGTATTATCTAATAATTTTATGTCTTCTTGCTCCATTTTGGTCTCCGACAATTTTCTAGTCACAGCAGATAAAGATGCGTCTGATACGTTTGGACGTGGAAAGAAGAGGTGCTGGAAGCATAAGTTTAAAGCTCCTTTGTTTTTAGACTCCCCGCAGGCAAAGAAGATCTGCAACGACTATGATGACATGCTGGATTTTGACGGGTGTGTATATTCAAATGGTAAGCCTCCTAGAAAAGTTTCTGAGCTAATTAAGAACCAGAAAGAGATAGGTTCTCTATGTGAAGTGGGCTACCATAGTCGATCACATGGTGGATCTCTAGTTGGTTATGGGGTAACAGGTCGATTACACAGTGGATCTGTAACTGGTTACGAGACAACAACCCGTAATGAGATCCGTGATGATCCATCACCTTGCATTGTTTACTCTAGGTCATATGCAAAATATACATTTGGTGAAGATGAGGATAGGTTATCATTAGATTTGGAGAATTCCTTGCCAGAATTGAATGCTGAAACAGATAACATACCAACGGCGACTGTGGCTGCTTCTGATGATCTTCAATTTAGTGATGGCACCAATCTTCACCAGGAGCCAAGTAGAAAATTTCTCAGAAGTTGCTCATCTGGAAGAAAGTTGAAGTTCGATAGAAATTCACCTGTTATGGATGAAAGATTTCAACTTCGAGGAGATGACAATAGAATTGAAAAATCCTGGAATGACTGTGACGATAGTATGGATGATAAAATTGGGGCCAATGTGTTTGGAATGGATCGACATCACGAGGAAGCATCAGTATTTCAATATGCTTCAAGGGCTCAATTTGACATGCATGAAAGAGTAGAGTTTCGCACATCAGACTCAGACATGTCATCTTCAGTATTTGCAAAAATTTCACCGAATTCTTTTTCACTAGTCCCCAATTGTAGTCCTAATTGGCAGTGTTTCAGGTCTGGATGGTCTCCTTTTACAGCTGAGGATAATATTGGGATCAGGTTTAATGATAATGATGAGTCTACTTATGACGGTTTGAATGAAGGCTGCCCTGAATTATATTGCACTCAGGGAGAAGGTGAAGATTTCAATTATAACAATTCAATTTCAAGATTCCCTCGGTCTCAGCTGAACTGCTCCTTTGTAGACATGTCCCCTGATAGAAAGAGTGAAAATAATGAGTTTCATTGGGGAAATTTCGATTATATGTTCTCTCCAAAGTCTTTCAAAAATTTCCGTAAAAGAGATTGGTCACTGTTATCTCCCTGTGGTCAACAAAGTCCCAGAAATCACCTAGTGCCATCATCATATAACCCATCACCAATGGTAAATGAACGTGAAAAACCAAATCTTGGGAATCAAAAGACGCACTCTAATGGCAGGAAAATATTCATTAGAAGCCACTCAGCCCCACCATGTCACAAAAGGAAGAAGAGATATATTGATTTGACTTGTACTTCCTCCATGTTGTCCACAAAGAGCAATTTCCAGAACATCCCTAGAACACTTGAGTCGACAACGTTTCTCCAGGGTCAGTTAATGTTCATTAGTTCGTTTACATGAATTAATTCAAATATGGAATTTTTAATTGAAGTAGAAAATTGGCAATTTGTATGGTGCAGATCTTAGGGACTCTTGTCGAGAACTCCATTCCGAAGCTGAGAATTTGAAAATTTCTCAAATTCCATTTGACCAATATTACGCGTCTCTAATGGAAAGGCCATCCAAAGATCTCCCAATTGATGAAAGGTTTAAGTTTCGACATTGTGCTAGACATTTTATCTCCAGTTTTCAGTCTATTTATTTCTATCTTGCAGAAAAATTCTGAAAATGGCACCTGAAGTCGTTGAAAATGGTGGACCACAAAATATGGGGTTGTCTGTCAGAGTGGGGTCTGTGGAATGTGAGTTTTTCCTTCTAACCAATTACATTCTGTTTGTTATCTTACCAGAAAGATGAATGTTGGAATCCTAATGTCTGATTCTTGCCTTCACTCTATTGCTTACACCTATATGTCAAGGGTAAATTTGAGATATTAAATAGAATTATTCCTTATAATCTACTGGTAATGATAAAATCTTATCTCCAGGTCTTGATACGATTGAAATTCCGGATTCCCAGAAGGCTCTGTGCAAATGGCGAAATCAATTTTTACCATATGCAGTTAAGCATGTTACTGGCTGTGTAAATAAGAATTTTAGCACTGTTGCTTGTGTTAGATGACAGAGTATTTGATTTCTAGTTTCGTAAATGTTCTTTACCATATAGGGCGGTAGCAGATCAGATGATACAAATGACGAAGACAATATCCTTGACATCACCTCAGACACCATGCATCTTTCTGGTGATACCTTGATTCCTAAGTCCATTGACAGGACGTTACTTGAGGATGCAAAAGTTCTCAATCAGGTTGACAAGAAATTCATAGCAATTGTGGCCGGAAAGAACCTTGCTATAATCGACCAGGTTCATGAAGACATTATTTTCCGCTGATCCCAGTCATTGATTTAGATAATTTAAAGTGTTTTTTAGGCACGAGTGGTGCAATCCAACAATGGTTTCTAAGCAGAAATATGCCTTGATATTCTTGGATGGACTGTATAACTTAGTTGCCTGTTGGTGGAAAACTATAATATCTTAGTTTTAGTGCGATCACATTATTATTTGAAAGAAGTTAATATTGTTCTGATAGTTAAGGGTAAAAGCAATTGAAAATAATAGATAATTGATATTATTAATTAAGAAAATAACTGGGGACAAATCCCACCCAGCCTAAGGCCGACACTCCGGGGAGAAACTTCCCGCCCAAGCTCAAAGCCAACAATTCTACTCAACAAAAGATTGGTGAAAATATAATTCACTAGGAGTGTGTTTAGGACAATACATCTGGCTAAAGTAGATCAGTTTTAGGATCAAACTTGTCCATCATCATCATCATCATCATCATCATCATCATCATCATCGTCAAGTAGATCAGTTTTAGGACAATACATTCTGTGTTTCTATCTATATTCTCTTTCAAAATATTTGATCATGTGTAAACAGTCCTGCATGTTTATTTGTTCTTGGTTGTTTTGACTGTTCACAAAACAGCATGCTGCTGATGAAAGAATTAGATTGGAAGCTTTGCGTCTCAAGGTATAATAGCTAGCTGATAGATGTGTTAAGGATGTTTTGTGTTCCAATTTATGTCTTGATTTATCCTGAGAAAATATCAGGTGTTGTCGGGTGAAATGAAGACAATCACGTATCTGGATGCTGAGCAGCAAATGGTAGGCAATATTGCTTATCTCATGTGGAAAATAACATCTCTTCCCTCTTTCCCAAGTTGTTCAAGAATAGTTTTTCACTGTTCTTTACAACGGTACAGGCTTTGCCTGAATTTGGCTATCAGTTACTGCAAAATTATGCTGCCCAGATTCAGGCTTGGGGTTGGATGTGCAATATTCATTCCCAGGATGCAAGTTCCTTCTCAAAGTAATTGTTATCCGAGTCCACATGTTTCATATGTTAGATTTTCTTATGTTTCTCTAAAAATGCATTAGTGATTGTAGGGTGTGAACCAGTAAAAAACTCCTTATGCTTTGGAAGGATTATTGCTACACAGTGTCCTACTGTTGCATTTATTAATTTCCTATATACCTGAATAGCCTATACTCAGAATATTATTGTATACTTCCTTCCAGACATTTGGATTTTCTACACAAGCAGCAAACTGTAGTAAAACTTCTTGCGGTAATGCTCCTACTTTTGCTATTAAATCTGTAGATTACGTATTTGCTCTTCTGTGCTTTATAACCTGAATATTGAAGTATAGATTAATGCTGAAGTATATTTTCATATATATATATATACATATATATATATTTATATATTTCATTTTAGAAAGTATTTGGACAACATGATAAAGAAAACAGAGATGAATGCCATGACATACAAGCACACATCCAACTTAACTTGTGCTTTGACCAGTAACTACATGTACAGACCTTAATGGAGTAGATATTAACATAGAAGCGCCTTGCAGAGTTGCAGTATTCTTCTGTTACTATTTTGCAAAAATAATGTGTAAATAATTCATGAGATAAATGGTTCTTATGTTGAAAAACATTAACTACTGTCTAGAGTTACACCTAAGAATAATGAGACAAAGTTTCATATAACTGGAAGATTTCGTTGGGATACGGGAAAAGGGAGAGGGAATGAAGAGGTTATACCTATCTTACATATGAGTTTCAATTAAGTTAAAGTTAAAAGCATTAGAGTAATTGTTTTCTCATACTATGTCTAAACTCGTCATATTCTTCTCTTTATATCAATGTAGTTCTTTTGTGAACCTTATGGTTAAACTCTTCCATCAATCTGGGCCACCATCTTATTTTCTTGGGGCAGTTTTGCTTAGAACAAAATTATCTACATTAATTTCAGGTACCTCGAATTCTGGATGTTGATTTAACTGATGCCGATCTCCTAGAATTTCTCCAACAGGTGAAATTTTGTTTGCCTTTCCATTGTCTACTCATCTATTTAGTTATACTTAATTCTTAATTCATATTGCTTCTTCTGATCTGTCTTATGCATCTGCAGCTTGTTGATACAGATGGATCATCAACCATGCCTCCATCTGTTCATCGTGTCCTTAATAACAAAGCATGCAGGGGTATGTATGGTACAGCATTTTAGAGGCTAACCTCGGTATATAAGATATTCATGTGTCGCATGGTTAGACATTTTAAACTTTCCTTGTGCCCTCCGACACGCAAAACTCTGAGCTGCTGAAAGAAACAAAGAAATGTTACTGTGTCAATCGGGCCTTGTACTTTCTGTATTGATTGATTGATAATGTAACAATGCTCAGGGGCGATTATGTTTGGTGACTCATTGCTGCCGTCAGAATGTTCTCTCCTTGTTGATGAGCTGAAACGGACTTCACTTTGTTTCCAGGTGAGTTGATTAGTGATAATCAGGCCACAAGAGTGACTGGCATCCGGATTCGTTACGATATTTGTTGCGTCTATATATAATGTTCCTGCTTAAGTTTTATCTCTTTGAACTCATATAGTGTGCTCACGGGCGACCGACAACCGTTCCTCTTGTCAACCTTGATCTCTTACATGATAGGATTGCCAATCTTTGTTCAGCTCAGTCGTGGCATGGATTAAGCCGGCATAAACCCAGTTTAGAGCGTATTGCACAGCGTCTAAGTCGGTCTCACAAATAAAAATTACATTATTGTTTTTTTTTTTTTTCAAATGATGGTGTTGAGCAATTAAAGCTGATAAATATATGTTGCGTTGTTAACACATAGGAGAATGTTGTGGATTATATGAGAATCTCCGAAACCATACCAAAATTCTATCACTAAACGTGGTCTCCGGAACGTACTAAAAAATTGGGACAGTTTGGAAATTTTTAATTTTCGGTTCGGTTCAGTTCAGTATTGGGGATTATCGGAGCGGTTCAGTTCGGTATGGTTCAGTTTGAATCTTTGGAGATTTTATATTTTTTAAAGTTTTTTTGAATGTCTATCTAGTTATATTTAATTTTTTTTTTATGCTTTTAAAGATAACATTCATCAATATTTCATCATATTGAAGACTTTATTTTTGAAATAAAATGTTGAAGTAACTCTAAATTTTAGTTATATAACTAGTTGTGACCCGTGCATTTGAAAGAAAAGCAATATGATAAAAAAATAAAATAATAAAAAAGATAAAGAATAATGGTTCTCCAAGAAAGAAATAAGAATACATTGTACCCATTCGATCAAATGATCCAAAGATTAAAAAAATCAAAATTATACATTCATTAAGGACTTTGTAGTAATTTTTCACACCACATCAAAATAAGTGGACCCCATTCCACATTATTAAATATGCCAATTAACTCTACCTACCCACGTCATCCTGCCAGGCCACCCCTCTACACATTCTCTCCCTCACACACACACACACACACACCAACCCCACCCACATCAACCCGCCTACCTCACCCCACGTTCTACCCCCCTCACATACACACGCACACACATAACACAAACAGGCACACACAACACACACACATCGGAACACTGCCGAAGCCGCCAGTCGGCGGCCCACCTACCGCCGCCACAATCATCGCTCCGCCGTCGGTGGCGGAGCATCCTCTCCACCGCCGAAGCCGCCAGTTGTACCTTCTACGCATCTTCCCCGAGGCATTCCATTGCCGACACCGTCGTCTGCGCTGCAATTATACTTTGTAACTCCGAATGCTTCACCGCGGCCGGCCCCATCCCCTCGAAGCAAGACAATTCCACCAGAGACACCGCCGCCATTTCTAATCTCCATTGTGGAGGCGAACGACGAACGTTGACGGAGCTCGGGTTGTGAAGGTGCAGCGAGAAACGGCGGACAGTCGCAACTTCTTTGTGCGTAGAATGAAAGGACTGCACTCTGGAAATTTGATAACTATTAAGGGATTTGATTTCAATTTCCCAAATTTTAATATATTTCAATTAAGTTAATTAGTCAAATGTGTAATTTCCAAAACATATTTTATTCCAAATACTTTCAGGCTTAGTTATTGAATCTTCTTGTAGTAGACAATGTTCACACGTAACTGAAAAATTAAATAAGTGGGCTCAATTAGAAATTGAAAGGAAAAAAATATGGGTAAATAATTATTTGCAGCCTGTACTAATCGCGTTTTTGGCGATTGCAACCTTAAGTTTTTTATTTTTGAAATTGCAACCTGTAATACACGTATAGTCTGTATCGCAACCTAACGGCCATCGGAGTCCATATTTCACCGAAAAAACGTGCGTGCGACTCGCACGCTACAAACTTGAGGGTAAAATTGACTTTTCAAGTACGTGGCTATTCAGATCCCACAGAGTAAATATATCCAAAATAATTTGCAAAGTTAACACAAATCCCCAATTCAAATCTAAAAAAACTAGGGTTCTTGCAACTGCGATTTTGAATCTCGACATCCAATCTTAAACTTTCCTTCGAATTAAACATAGAAATTGTGTATAAAACTTGATCGCGATCTTGATGGGCTGGAAGGTACGCGACGATAATGAGAATCTTCCACCTGGAAGACTGTGCCCCGA